GTAATCCTCCACGCGAGTGTGAAGGTAAAGCAAGCAGGAAATAAGGAGCATTTCTAGACCACATGGTGTAGTAGCCGGCATTGTGTGCCCAGGCTTTTGTGTGAGTTTCTACTGAATTTCGAGATAAGTACAACAAATTGGGATATATTTGATGCACAGGAGCTATCTTATACTTACAGAAGGTCAGTAGGAAGTTTTTGATGGTTTACTGGTTGATAATAGATAGGTAAAGAAGTCATAAGTGAATTGTATGATCAGCTGATTTTGAGGCACAGCTGATTGTATATGGGTCAACTTCTTTGGCTTGTAGTTTTGCAGCTACTGTTTATATTTTAGAGAATGATTTCAACTTTGTTAATTGCCAATATTATTTCAATTTAATATTCTAACAAATATATCTTAATTTTAATTTGGAAAATAATTTCACAGACGTGCACAGAAAATGCAACAAATATAATTCCTAAATGAGTGCCTGGGAAAATATAATTCATTTCTGAAACGGAAAAATCAGTGGAAATTTTAAATGAACGTCCTGTTGATTTTGAAAAACTGTTTTACACTGGGAGAACTCATTGTTTCCTTGGCCGAGTAATGTGATTGTGGTGTTAGCTGCTTGAACTGACAATATTACACTCAAAAAAAAGTAAAACTACTATGACATAATACCATAATACAAGCTGCACTATCTACGCACAAACATCCTGTTAGTATTTACACTTATGATGAATGATGAAATTCTTCTGAAAAATCGGGTCACGTTTGCACCATGCTAGAAATGTAAAAGGGATATTGCGCAAGACTCACATGCAAGACTCACATGTATGGATCGATATAGAAGTAGGATACCTGTTCCTCAGTGAGGTAGGGCCACTTGAACTAATATTTTGGTCAGGTTTTACTAATGTCTGCAATTGATAACAGGTGTGCTTTAGCTGTTTGCTGAGATCATGCAATGAATTCAGGCTTCAGAGTTTGCTGGCTGTCTTTTGGTAGATTTTTTTGTGACAACAGTTGACTTTCATAGAATAGGTTCAAAATGTCAAACTTCATGAAACTGTGAAGAAGAGAGATTTTGCTGTCAGAAATGGGTGCACTGTAAAAATATACTTAAAAATAGTGTCATTTAATAATCTTATATGCCCATTAAAGTTCATTGACATGCTATCTAAATACAGCAGTGGACTAGTGGTTAACCAGCTGATCGCTTTTTTACTCAAATACATGCAGCTAGGTTAAACAAAAGTTAAGGCATAGGGAGAATATAAAAAAATATTTTCACTAAGATATCTGTTTAAAATGAGAGATATCTATATGAACAGTGGTTTCTTGCGTCATTGTCTGAAAACAAGCAATGTTACATACACAGAGGGTTATCTGGAATGTATGAGGAGCATATGCTAGGAGGATGGGGGAGCATGCAGAGTGATTGCTATCTGACATATCGTCGCTGCGCTTCCAAAACCTCGTAAGTCAATAATTGATAATTTTCAGAAGAGGCAAAAAACTGTTCAATTTGTTTCCTTTTAGTGACATATCAAAATTGCTTTCACATTTATGATTAATAGCCATTGTTTTGAAGATGAAGATTTGCAATCTTATCTACTGTGCATAGTACAGATCATAGCGGAAAATATGATTTGTCTCTATTTTTGTATTTTTTCTGGTACTTACGACCTTTTGTCACATATCGTTTTTACATATTAATAAATTATTTTTGCCCCATAATTGATAAATAACGGTTTCAATTATACAAAGTAGAGATGAGATCACCCTAAGTGGTTCATGTTCTCCTTTTTCATCCCGTTCATGAATTGAAAACCTTTATGATCTATATTCGCCGTGTAAAATTCATTCCAAACATGAAATAATGATAACATGCTATGTGTTTGCAAAAATTTATTTCTAATGCTACAATTTAGAACAAATAAACAGTATAGCTTTACTGTAGGGAAAAATAAAATCATAATCAACATAAATTAAAAAAAATTGAAATTGAAGTCCAGGTAAGTACAACATTCTCATTAAAGTGTGGCCAACTGTCAGTTAAGTTTGACATTCTCATTGGTGTGGCAAGTTGTCATAAAAAGGGTGATAGTCGAGTAGATGCCCATATTTTGCTTCTTTTATCTTGATTCGTCCTGGTATAAATTTCCAACAAAATCATCTGAGGGTGACCTTGAATTCAATTCTTGGAAATTCCATAAAAAAAACTTGTATCCTATTGTACCATTAGGTAGGTATCTCAACACCCTGAGATCGGTAACGGTAGGTTCGCCAGCTTTGCTTCCAATTAGTAATTCAAGGTGGTGAAATCTTTGAAAAAGTCATGTGTCAAATACTTCACGGTATATGGCTGAGATGGCCTACATGCTTTCATGATGTCACATAATTTTGTGGAATATAGATTGGTTTGTTGCGAAGTTTCCTCTCAATTACACTATGAACGCTATCTACCTCCATCTGCGTGTGACCTTTCTCCAAAATTTTCAACAATTCGAATGTTCTTATCATGTGATATTTTTAATAAGGCGTTAGCTAACACAACATTCCTATTTTGATAAGTGCATCCATCACTGTACATGATGACTTCTTCGATTCTTTCCTCAAGATTATCTACATAATCAGCGATACATGAGGCAAATGCATTTGCTGATAAATCGCCCTTTCATGCCAAAAGTAGCACGTCACTTCTTTCGTACACAAATCAAATACTGTGAAATTGTGACAACCTAGTTTACTTTTGTAATACATAGAGCTTGCTTTCAACATAGGGGAAAGTAGCAGGGCCTGCAAATCAAAAACAATTACTTTCAGGTTGTCTTCATTGAGTGCTTTATCTTTATCAATTTCTTTTGCTGGATATGTTTCGCGCATATATTTTTTGTCTCACTGTATCACATGCAAGAGGTTCTGGCTTTCAAATACTTCTGTATTTTCCTTGTGCTTGGTTACATTGGATTTTCAATGTATAGTAGAGTTCACAGAAGGAATTAAAAGTTGGTTCCTACTGTTTCAAGGTAGATGATCTGCAATAATGTGATGGCATCTTTGGTAGTTGTTTCAAAAAGTCATTAGCAAAAGAAACCTTTTCTGGGGCTCGAGGGCTTTGGAATTCACTGCATTATCAATCCACGAATAAACGGTCTTTTCACCAATGCCTATTTTTGCAAACTGGAACCCTTTCATGGTTTCGTTTGAGATGATAAACTAGAACGCCTGCTTATATCTTTGTCTTGCTTCCTCTGTTTACAACCTTTCACATCCACCAACGTTGAAATGTAAACTTTTTTCTGATCCCAGTCCATATTGTTCCAAATTGATAAAATGCTTCATCGAAGTGTACTTTACACTGTTTCTTTCTGGTCTCTCTACTGTAAATTTATAGTGACCGGAAATTTTCGTCATCCCTTTATAGCTTTTCCTTGCATTCGTAATGCTTTTTGCTTAATTAATTGGCCATCTCTGAGAATTTCTTGTCTATCATCAAGAGTTTGGTGGCTGTCTTTTGTTCATGTTCCGAATTTTTTTATGACATTTAACAGTTTCTGATTGACTTGCTCGTCGTTACTTGGAAATGTTACAAGGAATAGGTTTCAAAATTTGTAAACTTCATGAAATTACTAGTAACAGTTTTGTTTTTGATTTTTTTATCGTTTTTCTTCTCTTTCTTTTACGCGTACTGCTACAATCTGATTCGCTAGATTTTGCTGTGGATCATCAGAGCATTTCATCATCAGACTCATTGTGAAGATCGTTTTCATATTGCATGTTATCGTTTTCATCACGTTGATCTTTTTCATTCTCGTAAAAATGTACTTTAAAAAAAGTCGTCATTGAATAGTCCTTGTTTTTATGATAGTTGCAAAAGAAGCTGTCCATTAAAGTTCATTTGACAAGTTTTTTGTAATCTAATTATTATTGCTCTTGGTGTAAATACAGCAATGTGATACAACCGGTTGAGTGTGTTGACATCTGTGTAACTTCAGCTTGTTGCATTTTCCGAATCGTATGCCCCAATCATAAACCAACCACAAATCACAAATATATATGTCTTTAAAATCTGATTCCTTGACGCTTTTAGGAAGATTTGTTGTACAATTCAAATGAAATCTCTTATTACATATACACCGCACCCATTTTTCTCCATTTACATCAACAAGTATTACATGTTCCTTTGTAATCATTTGCAAATTACTGCAACGCGATGACACTCAAAACAAGTCCATTCAGGCCATTCCTCTTCAGAATCTGACATCTAAAAAATCGTTAAGATTTTAAAATTACAAAAGCATAGGGAGATTATAAAAAAATATTTTCACTAAGATATCTGTTTAAAATGAGAGATATCTATATGAACAGTGGTTTCTTGCGTCATTGTCTGAAAACAAGCAATGTTACATACACAAAGGGTTATCTGGAATGTATGAGGAGCATATGCTAGGAGGATGGGGGAGCATGCAGAGTGATTGCTATCTGACATATATTGTCTAACTCTTTGCTGAACTTCAGACTTTTTTGTGTTTCCTGGAACTGTTTGAATAAGACTGACTGTGTAATAATACCTTTTGATTGTTTAACATCATTATATCTTCTGAGAAAACATGAAAAACCAACATCATGATGATTGGGTGTTCAAATATGCATAATAAGGTATTTTATTATAAGACCAGAGTTTTCTCAAGTTGGAGTAAATGAAAGGCCAATTCAAAATTTGTGTGAGAGACGTAGACGATTCAAGTCAGTTTGCTTTGTCATTCACTAGGTTATAGAATCTTTCTTTCTGCTGAACGAGAAGTTGACGTTGTCAGACAGATCTACACATACTACTACTACATTAATTCATTGATCAGATGTTGATCTACAGAATGTGTCTATTGAACTCCCCCCACGATTGTATGGTCCTCACAATAACTGCTGACGCAAATGCGAAGTATTTAAAAATCAATTTTACTATCATTGCAATGTGGCATTGAAAATGTGTTTTATTGATATCTTTTCAGTGATAAAAGACAGAAAAAGAAAATAGTGTAGAAAGTGACAATTGCTGGTCCAGTATTTTTGGAACTATTGAAGAAAAATCTTCCCGTGTGGTGAGAAACTCGAGAGAAAAAAATATATTGATATTGAACAGTTCCCAAACTAAACAGGCTTCATGATGGATGTCGATATTATAAAGATGGAGCCGGGGAGCCCATTAGGTCTCAGTCGATGTGGCCATTCCCTGTCCTTGGAAGAAAGCTTCGGCCGCGACGTCTTTGCAGACTATCACAATGACGACTACGGCTCAGATGGTTCTTACCAAGGAAACAGTGCAGACAATAGTGGTAACATATCCCCTTGCAGCATTGATGAAAGTCCATCTCCCATTGACACACGCAAATTAGACTTCATTAACAATATTGCTACTTCCATCACAAATTCCATTAATTGTGATCAGGACAACATTGAGTTACCAAAGAGACTTTGCTTGGTGTGTGGTGATGTGGCATCAGGCTACCACTATGGGGTGTCCTCTTGTGAAGCATGTAAAGCATTCTTCAAAAGAACTATCCAAGGTAAGTCAATATATACATGTGATTAGTACGAACAGTACAACTGTAAACAGAAATTAGTTGTTTCTTGAGTTTGAGGTTTTTGTGCTCCTTGAACACAACAATGAGAGTTTACCAAGAGACCAAGGACCCTGAAATCATCATCTGATCTATTCTATAGATATGGGTTATTATATTTAATAGTGTAGCATGTCAGCTAGTTTCTGATGTGTCATTTAAAATGCATAGTACCTGTTGAGAGGTACATCAATAATAGAAATATATATACCTTGTGTCCAATTTCAAGATAACATGGATATCTTACAATAGAAGCCAAATACCTGAAAAAGCTAAATGATGTGCTATTTCTGTCAGAAAAGTGAAATCTGAGGTCATCACCTCTTATGTTCTCAAGTGAAGAATTGAGGGGCCAAATTGGACTGAAAGTTTCTGACACACTGACCTACATACAGGTATTTGAACTACCACCTGATAAAATAGGAGCAAACTTTATACACTCACTGACCTACATGTTATATGTATCAGAAGAGGTTAAATGAAACTTCAAAGGTAGAAGATTTAGAGTTATAGCTCCTAGCATGGGTCATAGACAGTGTCTGTAACTTCTTAGCAGTGGGCATAGACAGTGTCTGTTACTAGTGAATTACTGACACTGAGGGGGGTTGGACAATTATTCTACTTTGGTTTATTTGACTTTATGGAGTTTCCAGTCCTTGGTAGAATGGTTTGCTGCTATCAGCACCAGCTATAGATAGAGAGCCAAATACAGAACTTGACTGTGGACCTGTGCCAGTATGACAGATAGGTTCTTTATCAAACCAATACTAACTCTGACTGAGGACCCCAGCCCTGGAAGTCTCCTCTGAAAGACCATCACCTTTATTAAACCTTTTTGACATATGCAAAATTGATAGCACCTTGCGTAAAAAAAAATCAGATTTGATCCAACTGGGATTTGAACCCTGTTTCCTACTCACCAAGTAAATGCCCAACTATCAGATCTCAAAAAAGTCTGTAGTGTACCTAAGATAAGAGGTATATGGATACTAAAATTTAGATTTATTGAACTTTACTACAAGAATATCTGATTGAAAAATAATAAAGCTATGATAAACAGAGGAGTTCATACAAGCTAATGTTACATTTGATGAAGTCTTGGAGATAAAGCTATCTCAACTGGGCAATTTTAACAGCTAGAAGGAAGTGAATTTCATAGATGTACCAATCATTAACTTGTATTATGACAAACAGGATGTACATAAAGTGTATTATAACATAACTATAGACAGTGAATTACTGATCTAGAGGAAGACTTATTCATTGTTAAATACATAGTTCAAATGATCAATTCAAAAATAATTTCGTCAGTCATTGACTATCCTTTCAATCCTGTACGTGACTGTTCTTAGAGAAAATGAATCTATAATTTTGTTTTCTAGCAGTAGATATACTGTAGTATGGATGGAATATGCATTTCGAATCCTCAAGGCTGTCTATAAGCTTGGGTATATGGAAATTAAATCGTTGCATGGTTTGGGCATGTTGGGTCTAGATTAGCACATCTTATCAAATGTTATTTTTTTAAAGAATTTATTATTCACACAGCCGTACTTTGACTCAAAGACTCTAAAGAATTCTGATAGCCTTAAAGGAGATTGCCTCCCAGATTAAAATGGAAGAAAATAACCTACGTCACCGCCTCTTGTAATATATGTATAGACCACATAGGGACATTGCAATGCATTAAAATTATGATCGGTAATTACGCTGGACTTTTCAGTGTAAATTTAAAAAATCAGTAAAGTGACGTGGTTAACTGTTTTTCTGCAGACCAATACAGCGGGAAGTATTGCGTCAACCATGACCGATTAACGTAGAGAGACATTGTTTCTGTGCCAAAAAGTCTCTTGAAATGATCAGTTATTCTTACAACAGCTCTAAATACTTGCGTAAAAAGGTTTTCATAAATCTAGGTCATTATTTGTGCCTCATTTCATTCAATCAATGTAATAGATCACTCAATAATAGTATCTTTTATGCTCTTAGTTGGTCAGTAAATTTCATAACTCAGAAGTTTTTTGTAACTTTAATTATATATTATATTATAGATTAATTAAGGGACATACAGTAACAAATACTGGTACAGAAAGTGCATGCACGAAACAATAAAAAAAAAAAATTCAAATGTATATATATCTTGGATTATCTTAGCATTAGACAATTTTTGTCACTGCATCTTTCATTTTTGGAAAAAGATAGCAGCATTACCTTCCTGCATCTTTTAATACTAAATAGTAAAGAAAATTTCAAAGAGTAAGCATGGATTGTGGACAGGGGTAGTTAGGGCATTCTAGGCGTATGGTCGTTTGTCTAGGTAATAAATGTTTGCCGTAAATTAAATTGCGACAAGGCTACTTGAAATTCAAATAGGTGATATAAATATGAATGAGTTTTGAATTTTATTGTTTTATTTATGACACTATATAATCTATTGCTTCACATTATTCTGCTCAAAATGTCAAAATGGTGGTGTCGGAAATAAAATTCTGGTATAAAAATCACCTAAAATGAATAAAATTTGATGTATGACAAGTAAGATAATGTAAAATAAAGAAGTACACCCTTGTTTAGAAAATTAAAAAAAAAACGTTTTTCAAGGGGGACCCCCGGGGGCACAGAGAGGTGGGGTGGAGAATGTTTAAATTGTAGTTCCTTGATTTGGTATATATAGGAATATTCCTACTGTTTTCAGTTTTTAACTGGATGTAATGCAATAATTTTTCAAGCTTAGTGTCTTTCTGAATGTCCAGGTTACATAATGTTACTTGAGGAAGATAATGTTAAAAATATTTTCTTATAGTATCTTTGTCATTATTAGCCAATATCTTTCAGCATTCTAAGTTGGACTAAAATGTTGTCCTATTTCAGGTTATGTAAACAACTTGTTTTTCTAAGAGCTTAAACTGGGGTCAAAGATTTGAATGGATTCTTGGAGTCTTTAGACTGGACTTTTATACATTTAATTCTTTTTCAGTTAAAACATTGTATCTAATTGGGTTCTTGGTGTCAAGCAACAATATTTATATATGGCATGAATAATTTGGTTTTCTTCATCGTTTTCTAAGCATTACTTTGTTGTGTACTGCAGTTTGTATCTGTTTCAATTATTCTTATGCAAGTGCAGGTTCTCAAATTACTGGAATTAAAAGCAACTTAGCTTCATGTAGTTAATTTGACATAATTGTGCTGCAATGGGTAATGTATTTGGGCAGTAAATGATAGCAATCTTGGATTTTCATTAAAGCATCATTTGGCAGTTGTCACATAGGCTAGAAGTCACAATTCACTAGAATAGTAGTTGTACAAACAGCAGCAATTTCCTGCACATACATGAAATCTTCATTTGACCAGAACTACCTATTAAATTAATTGGGACCAGAATAAATAGTCATATCTGCAGACTTCACAATCAATACAAAAGTACCAATAAACCTTCCCTATACATTCACAGTTTCTTTTACCTTTACAGGTAGCAAACTTCTCAAAAAGACATTCTGCTCAATATTTGTTATAGTAGTGAGTAAATATCCAGTGAAAAAAGGTCTGAACTTGCCCTGTCATCTGATTAGAGACTGGAATTGACATTGATGTATTGATTACAATGCTGGGGTCAAGGCAATTGCCCAAATCATTTATCACTGACTTCATAGTAATACCCGTTTTTCATAGGAGGGACAAAGAGTAAATGGAATGGTATGAATTTCTGGGTTACATGTGATTGTTAAGGTTAATAGATAAGTCGTCCAAAGTTTTTATGTGTGTGTAAACGAGAACTATTATGTGGAGAAAGCCAAGGTAAGGTACGTATAAATCAATCTGAAAATCACAAAGAGGGAACAGTTTATCAGTTGAAAGATATGCACCAGGTAGTTTTAGGTGCAAATTTAAAGCCAACATTAGGGTTTCATTGCTCAGCACTATTTGGACTGGTGGTTGGAAAGGTTGCAGTACTGTTGCAGTGTTGCTTCATCTGGAAAACAGAAGCGTCCCAATCATTACAGAGGTTTCTTGAGATGTTGCCAATGTTATCTTGGGCACTTGAAATCGGTTATTTTGAATTTATTTGAAGTAATTGCTATTGTTCATTCTTCATTAAAACTAAGTAGATGTGCATGCAGTATAGGCTTCTGTTTCTTTAAATTGCCCATCTTCACAGTAAGTGTAAACAATTTCACTCATTTGGTAGTGCTGCTGTTGTGTGTCTAGGATAAGATGTGAATGCTAGGCAGGCTTTATTACATTCCCCACTGTTTAATGAAGCTTGTATAACCCTCACCCCTCTGTAATTCTTGTACAATACTTTCCAGGTAAGTTTTGTTTATCAAAGAGAAAAAAGGTGCTCAACCTTTGGAAATATCAAGACCTTAGGTGCATTACTCATCCATGAAATTTCAATGATAATGGGCTTGCTTTTGATATTAAGCATTTTAATTACATTACTTGAAAATACGTTTTGAAGCTAGATAGAAATACTCCTCAAGAACAACATGTCACTCTTATTTTAAAATTCTTTCAGCTGAATCTGTACCTTATATTCTTTTAAGGATTTGGATTATTTGGTTTTCTCCATAGATAAATATGGAAAAAAAATAGCCCCAAGGACCTTGAAAAAGGTTTGACTTGCAGGAAAATTCTTAGCTTGGTTGTACAGATATATAGGGATACGAATTGTTAAATCAGATTGCATAACATTGATAGATTATTTTCAAAATATTTTTGGCCATGCACATTAAATTTCAATTCTAAATGATATACAGTACATATATTTTTTGTACAAAAAGAATTCTGGGAATTCATTTATCATGGATACAAATTAAAAGAGCACTTTTACATAAATCTTTTCTGGTGCCACTATCAATTTGCATTTGGCTTCTCATCCTTATATAAAAGGCTAGTGAACTCGGTATGACCCACCCAAGACCTCACCAGGCATTGCCTGCCAATGGATTGAGGGGGAGAACTTATTTATTGATCTTTTATGCCTAATTCATTATTCAGTTGCTGAAGCTTTCCCATAATTTTGCTTCCAAAAAATCATAGAAAAAAAAACTTAATTTGAAAACTGAGTACACTTAGGACAAGTACTGAATTTATAATTACACTTTTGTGGTTGTTGTTTAGTCTGCTGACTTTTCCATCAGAAAAATCCAACAGGATGGAAGTAATCAATACTTATCTGTTTTGCGACTCAGTAGAATGAACAGATGAGCCAGGTATTAAAATCAGATTATGCTATATATATTGTTAGTAGCTCTGCCAATAGGGACGAATTGATTGGTGGTGCATGGGCATTTATAAGAGCATTTAATATGAACAAAATATTAATTAAGACAACTCGCTGTTAAAAACAAATTGTTAGTGTCAATGTGGCCAATAAAATGACATCTCTTTGGGAGGAAAATGATATGTCTTAATTGTAGGTGATTGATTTGTTAGGTATTAAGAAAAAAATAGGACATTTGTACCTGGAATGTCACTACCAGATGTAAGGATTAAATATTGATGACTTTGGCATAGGTCTTCTGTTGTAGGAAGTCAATTTACATTCCACCGTTTGTTTTTGGAGATTGGGTATGCCTCCCTCTGTGAAATGTAGCAGATACAGAGGCTTAATGCAGCAGAGTAACAATAATTTAAAAAAAAAAGACAGCGCTGCATACTTGTTATCTTTAGGGGGGTGATTCTTTTGACATTTTGATACAAATTGGTTGTGTGTATTTTTGGCAGATAAGACTAATCAGAAGAGTTATCCCAGCCTGCTTTGTTTTAATTGTTTCTGACAAGGAAACCTCTGCTTCACAGCCTGAATGGGATGACGTAAAACAGAAAACTTCTTTTCTAAAAATAGCCCTTGTACGCACAAACCGTATGATCCCTACGTATGCTGGATATTAAAAAACATGTCTATGGCATAGACTCCGCATCACTGTTATTTGATCTATAATTAAAAGAATTGTATGGTATATACATATATCCCGATATACCTTTATTTGGAAATCAGTCTTGTCTCTAGAATTGAGACATCCCAATATAGTTACAATTAATTTCTGAAGATCTATTCGGAAACTCAAGGCACCGGTAATCCTGAAATCATTGGAGGGCATTAATCCTTTAAGGATTAAACAGTGTACTCACAGTAAGAAGTTTACATTTAAAGTACAGTAATTCAAATTTGATGATCCAGAAAAACTCTTAACTGGTCATGAAAAATTATGAAAACTGTATAAAAAATTGGGTTACCAGGTAAATATCAATATGAGCTTTTGAGTACTAAGGACTAATCTTATCATAATAGACCAAAAAATGGCAGATTTATGCTCCATCATATTAAAACTGTCAAAACTTTATATTTATTGAATTGTTACTATATATAGCCTAAAATGACTATATAAAATTAGAGCAACCCACTCTAAACTATGTATGAATAGTTGTCCTTGTGGTATTATGGGTATAAGAGAATATTTATGGGATCTGATGGCACCTAATCATATTGCTAGACAGACTGACAAATGATGAATTCAGGTCGCATATTGATTGTATCACACCACCAAACTTCACTTTCATTATAATGTCAGACAAGTTCAGTTCTAGAGACAGGAGACAATCTTAATTGATGTTTCAATTTGCATAAGTACAATGTATAGATTGATTTAAATCATTTAATGCAATATAAATCAGCCATATTTTGAAGCATTTCAGAAATCTGGAAGTTGGCATCTCTGATTAGTACAATTGTGCACTTATTTGCATTCATCTGTGGTATTTTATATGCACTTTTCTGTGAAGTGTATGCATAGAAAGTCTTGCTCTTTGGCTCTCTGTACGTATTAAAGTAACAGTTAACTGGTAGTACTATATCATTAAAATCAAGTTTGCAAATAAAGCAATACCTCAGAAATGAACTATTTAGATTAAAAAATGTTGACTACATGTATGTATTTACACATTGTTTAAGGTACATAAAGATATGATTTCTGACCGACACAATGGAAGCTAGATCACATTTCTATGGCAAACCAAGACACACTCAGGAGACGATGTATATACATATGATGTATAAAACACTTAGGAATCCTGAGTAGCAGGACAATGAATCCCTGTGGATTTCAATGCTTTGTATTGTGTCTAGTTAAATTGCCTATTTTATTACATGATTAAAATTCAAGTGATGACAGATAGTTAACTGTTGGCAACCTAAGAACTATTTTGCTGTCTCACTAACCATTATCATTTTTCTTGTAAACTGTGTGAACTTCAAGTCAGACACTGATATTAGTAAACTGAGTGCTGTAGACAAATTTCTTGCTATCAGAGTCAGAGATGCATTATACAATTTGTACAGTTGAGAACAAGAAATTTTATATAATTTTAATTTCTGACATCCAAATACTGAAATTTTCCAAGTGTCTATGAAAATGTTCGATACTTTTTCAATTTTAACAAAAACAAGTTGGCTGTTCTATAGATAAAGTTCTATTTTACTTAATCTATGCTATCGTATCTCTTTTTAGGAAATATTGAATATTCTTGCCCTGCCAATGGTGACTGTGAAATTACCAAAAGAAGGCGAAAGGCTTGCCAGGCATGCAGATTTCAAAAATGTCTCCGAGTGGGCATGCTCAGAGAAGGTAAGATGAAGATAATTTGCCTTGTGAATATATGTTCACAGCCATAAGTTTTTGCACCACAATTTATTTTGGGGAGTGAACTTTTTTTTTTACACAACCATGTTAAAGTTTCAGAAAGTGCCAAAATTCATAAATTATTTCAGTAAATATTTGCATACACATTTCTTTATCTGAAAAAAAAAAACTGTTAATGAAATGCGTAATGTATGAATTAAATTAATGGCTTTCCTGTAAATTCATTTAAGTGAAAAATGGGAAATTTCAACAAATTTGCAATTCTAGGTAAAATATTCACAAGTCTGAACAAATTAGCTAATTTAGGATGGCTAAAGGAGTTCAACAAAGTATTTATACCTGTTCCCTGGCAAGGAATCAAATCATTTCATAAGTTCGTCTTTTTTAAAAACATTTTTCAAAAGTTCAACGATTTGAGATGATCTGAGAGCAGCTCTCATTTTTCTCAAATCTAATTTAGTTTTTGACATTGAGATTTCAATAAATTTAAAGAATGAGATAATAAAATTTTATAATTTGAAACTGAGTCAGTGAAGTGTTTATTGATTAAGATCCAAATCGATGATTTATTATCGATCTCTCCCAGCAAGATGGCTTGTTGTGATAAGCAGAATTCAACATGTATAAAGTCAAAAGTCCTCATGCAGATCTGAAAATTAAGACTGTTTATAGCCATAATTGAGAAGACTGGAGATGAAATTTTGATTTAAGGACAAATTTATAAGATTTAGTAAATATTAATAAGACATAAACCTTCTAAATTCACAATTAAATCTGATTAGAACTACAAGTTTAATCAAGGTGTAAACTTAATTGCACCAGCTCCAGCTGAAGAAAAGTATTAGAAAAATGAAAATGCTCAGCAATGTATAAAGGCATGTATAAAGAACTAAATGTAATTAGTCATTTATAATTAACAATTTCGATTGATATTATATTGGTTTGCTGAGGATCAAAATAACAGGATACAACTGACAAGATGATAAAGATTTTACACAATATGTAAACTTGAGACAATAGGGAATGAAAAAGATCTTATCAACAGATTGCCCACTCTGCACTCCCATAATCTTTATATTTTATAATCTACTTATTTTACAATTGAGTTTCCTTGTACTTAATACACAGATCTTGATTTATATTTAATTTCCATTCTCTTTAATCTGTACGTACTTGCTATCCTCTAAGTGCATATACACTTATATCCTCCAACCACATAAACATGTTAAAACCTACAAGATTTGTGAAAGTAAAAAAAGGATCTAAATATCAGCAAACCCTATCAAAACTGAGTGAGGATTGGTCCCTCTTTTCTATGCATTCTTGTTAAGAATGCAGTTTACCATAGGGCCAAAGTTTTTGAATCATGTGGAAAACAAGTTAGTAAGGCAATAAAACCACAAGATCTTTGTCTCATTAGATCCTACATGCACAAGAGTATACAGTATAATAACAGCATGAAGGCAGGATTGGGAGCGTTGATCACCCCTAACTGCTTGTAATTAGGTGCCTTATTGGTGTCAGTAACTTACAAACATGTTTAACTATTTGTCCTTGGTCCTCTTGCCAAATGTTTGGTAGAGTGATGTCAATGCCTAAGGAGATTGATGTATTGAAAAGGCAACTTCCGACTTCCGATGATAAACACTTCATTGCTTGTCGCTGCAGTAGGGTGACAACAGGTTTCTCCTACCAACAACAGTATTATGATGTACTGCGATTAAGTTGTGGAGGGGGGGGGTTAGGTTTGAGCCCTTTTTTCTGTGAGAATAAATAAAGCAGACCAGAAAACAGGGGAAATGTTTTCATAAGTGGGATGGGATCATTTAAAAACATTTTGGTTTTTGTAGAGGATTTTTTTTAGAGGAAAGGCGACTTTTTATCAACATTCTGGCTTGTGTAGCAAAGTGTGGGAGAGAAGAAGAAAAAAATAAATGAATTAAGCAGACAGAAGCCAATTAACACTAGCCAACTCCTGTAGATGTAGCATTAGATTGGTTTTCCATTAGTTTCTGCAGCAGTGTCAAACTATAAACATCCTAAGGTACATGTTTTAGATGTTTCTTGCTGGTGCATTATGGGGGTCAGTTGATTCAGTGATCCCAATCAAAATTGATGCTGATCTAGTAATGCCAATCAAGATGTCTCATCCTTTTGTTATTGCTTCACAGAACTGCTGAATAGGGCTAAATGTTCTGCAGAAAAGAGATCTACATTTCCTTTTTCTTTTATGATTTATTGATTTCTGAAATTAGCCATTTTTTCCCCAAATGCTTACAGCTGTATTTTATGCCTCACACCTCAGTTTTTTCTTGAGCAACATGGTCAACACCTGAACCCATAACATGCATGAAGTAAAGTTAAAATGCTTTTTATTACTACAAGTAAATTCATCTGTTGTACATTGTATCAAAAATATTTTGAAGGGAAAGTTCTGTTGCTTTGGCAGCATTGTTGGTAATGGATTCATTGTCTGGTAAGGCAGGTGGAAGATGTTCAATCAAGAGGTGGAAATATTGTCAGAAGTTTCCAAACACAACCCGGAGATAGGGGCTCACTCTGTTTATTGTATGGAGTCTCTGTTCTGAGGAAATTATTATTTTATTCCGGAGTCGCAACATGGAAATACAATTTCTCCATTTCACAGCACTTGATATGCTCTCAGTCAACCCTGTTAATTTCTACCAACTTCGTAACTTAAATGTTGACAAGACATCAATTAACTCCCAGTGATTATGATCCAGAACATGAGAAATTTTCTCCAAAGTTAATTAAATCTGATGGTGTGTCTGAATTTTCCTGGCTCCCATTGCTGATGAACAACTTCCTGTAGTCATTGTGTAAATTGGATCATCAGTAACATGGGGGTATGTGTAATTGAATGAATGAGTTCCTTCTCGTGCTACAAATAAGAATAGAAAGTACAATTCACTGAAATAATAGGAAGTCGTGATATTGAAGATCATTTTTATGATGTATGGGCAGTATGGCTGATAAATAAAGGAGAATTTATAAATAAGTTAGTTACTATAACTGGATGCAAAATAGAACTTTAACAGACTATTTTAAAAAAACCTGATTGACTGAAATCACCATCTGGGGAAAAAAGTGATTATATTTAAAGTCACATACTTGTATTGACAGGTAATTAAAAGTATTACTCAACTCAGAACACACTAGTTCATCATAGTGATGTCATCTTTCTAAAGTTTCATCATTTTCTCCTTGATGCTAGCTTTTAGTGTATCAGGACTTGAATGTGTTCTAATCATAAAGGTAGTAGTAGGAAAATTACTTCAAATAAACCAACAGTCAAATAATATTAAATTATTACATATAGTCATTGAATTTTGAGATTATTTGATGTGTTATCTTTCTTTCACTTTAAAAAAAATTTCAGGTATTAGATTGTTTTTATCTAGTTATACATATACGGTACATAAAAAAATAAATGAGCATATGGATCTAAGAGGAATTTCAACACAATAGTAGAGAAAAAAAATTATTTAAAATATGCATTCATACCTTAAAAAAAAAAAAAATGCGTAAGTTTTATGTCCTTTCTGATAAAATTTCATTGCAGCGGACAAAAATTGCAGAATTTTAAGAAACTGCATGGCCATGACACACTTAACAGATACCTGAATCATACAGTGCACATTGTTGTTCATGCCAAGAAACTATAAATCATATATACTACAGAACATTGGACAATACAAGAATCGTGCAGAATTCAATTCCCATATTGTCAAATATTTGTGAATCTTGAATAAGGCCTTGGCCAGTAAAGCATGAGGGGCAAAGGGGTTAATTATGTTAATAATTTATTTCGAGACTTGAAAATTATATATAACAATCAAAGAATTTGGTATGATTTATGTATGATGAAAACTGAAGTGAGATTTTGAAGTCATTTGTCTGCACGTGTAGTCGGAGGGTCCATTTTCTGGTCAGAAGAGTGATCTAAAGGTACTGAGTTATACAGGTCATGCTTTTCAAGGCCTGTGCTGACAGATTTAGTATAATGAATGGGACTGTCACCACGGCCTTGACTGGTCAGGGAGAACCATCAGCCTCAGCCAATTTGGTGAACATGTCAACCATATCAGGTCATCTGACTTTGGTAGAGTTGTGACTGAGTGGTCTTACCTTTCTCTCTGGCCATTCTCTTGGTCATTTCTATCATTTTTCAATATCTTAATGTATTATGTAGCTTCTGTGCGTATTACCGGTATATGGGATGGATGAACTAATGTCCATGGATGCAGTGGTATATTTGCCTTAAAGCCAAGGGTTGTGTAGCCTTGACATGAATTTGGAGATGAAGATACAGAAACAACAGATCTCGGAAACAATCCCATTAATTTTATATGTATATATCCCCCGTAGAGCTAACAAGGTGCTTGTGTTAATTGATGAATGGTTGTCACTGCAAGCAAACTCTTCATCCCAGGGGGAATAATCTCACAGCTATTGGACATAATGTTTAATTTGTTACATAAAAAGAGCTTATTGCATTTAATATTATCAACTTTGAGCACTAGCTGAGCCAGTATTTTGTAGAATGTCCTCCAAGTCCTTTTGTAAACTGTTCATGATCAGAATTGCTCTTCAGTTCAAGATATAGAATATTAATGCTACCTGCTCATTAATGGGACATTATTCAGATACCCATTTTTTTATTTGTTTATTTCCGTGGAATGGTGTTTGTTTACTATGAGTAGATCTTAACCTCATAGAATCGGTAGGATGACAACCTGAGTGTACAATCACAGTGATGCTATTGGGTTAGACAGGAATAAAGTCAGAGACCGGAGATGGATAGGTTAATTATATGGGGGCTTTGACTGGTGACAGAGTCAATATTTGGAATATGGGGGGTCTTGACAGAAATAGAAAGGCCCAAATAGATACAGGATTCAATCCCTAGCTGATCATTTCTTATCAACTAATCCAAATTAGCAAAGGAAATGAAAAAGTAAAACCAAAAAAAATATTGTATCACATTGGGAGTCAAGGTTGAGCAGCTTGATCAATTATAAAATTTAAAGTTTGAGGGAATTTTTTTTGTTCATTCAAATTAGATGTTAGTTTGTAAGATCAGAAGTAAGGTATGGACATCTGTCGAGGAGATCAGGTAGAGGCGTGTAGTAGCATTGGCTAATGACATTAGTAACACGATGTGATGTGATGACTGGGGACAGGAAGGCAGTGTAAACCTTATTTGTCCCACTATGAGGTAATCATGCCACCTGTACTTTGTACAAATGGTGCACATGAACTCCAAGAGGGGCATGTCAAGAATAAAGTGTTGGTACTGATGTTTATTGGGAAAGTGATGGGGAGTGCACCAGTGTCTCTATCAAAGTCAAGTACAATCAGTGGAGTTGGGAACTTGACGTTTGGTGACCAGATAATTCAGTAATGTTTAAGTATTAGATAATGACAAAAGGAAATATCAAAGCAGGAGAGAGAAACATGATATACTGCAAAAAATGGGTGATCAATTATTTGTGGCAAACAATTTGTAGTGCATTGATGTAAGATATGTAGATTTAATCAAATGTATAATAGAAATCCCAGGTTTTGGTTTATGTGAATTCCCCCCACTGACATCCTAATTTGGACAAAAAGAACAGTTTATACGGTATGCATTAATGAGTTTATTTTGTAAAAGTCAGGCAATTGATTTTTAGCATTTACAAGTATAATTGATACATCATACCACATACAAATTAGCTTTCCAAGACATCTTTTGCAGAAACTGCCCTAAGCCATAAATTTTGTTTTATTCTGGAGAAACTGCCAATACTGCCAAAGAGCATGCAAGTGAATGAACTATGGAAGGGTTCAAAATGGAATGAAATCAATGTTGAGAAAATCTAATCAATCTGTGTATTTGAGGCGAAGGTGGGAAAAATGCCAGATGAGAGAGAAATATTTATTTACATTCATTGGGAAGAAGAAAAGTAAAAAAAATATATATAATGCTAGTAGAGAAAGCCATGTTTTATTCTATGGAAAAGTATTAGGTTGTAAACACACAGATAACTGTTGACGTACGGATTCCCAACTGCTGTTGGTCTGGGTTATCGCTTTATTTTGTTCAAACCAAACACGTACCCCATATAATTAATAAACAGAACAAAAGGAACAAGTTACCCAAAAATTACAATTCAATCTAGATAAACAGATCCCAGTGATTTTAAAAAACTAACAACAATAAGTAACAGTGTACCTTTAGAAACTGTTTTTTAAAAAAAAATGTAAGTTTATGTAAAAAGTAAACAGCATTAAAAATGCAAGATTGGTGTGAGGCAGTGACAGCTTTATACAAAAAATATCGAAAAGACAGATGGCAATGTTTACCAAGATAATCAATGATGAAAACCCTGTGTCATCATAATTTAAGTAAAGTTAAATAAGTAATGCTTGAAAAATAATGCATTATGTAATTTTCATAAAAATTTTTCTGTAGGGGTTCGTCTGGATCGAGTCCGTGGAGGAAGACAGAAGTACAAGCGCACCATCGACTCTGGCCCTATTGTGCAGCAGATTTTTCCCATGATCAAGAAAGCCTGTGTAGAAACCACTAAGTCAGGTACCAGCTGACACAATTAAAATATACATCAATGATGATGTAGTCAAACATATGTCCTGAAATCTTATCAAACTTAGGGTAATTTATCCCCCTTAATTTTGTATTTTGGTCATATACCTGTATTTACAACTATTTTTGTACTGTAGATTTTTCTTCAGATAACAAAATTCTGTCACAACTCATAAGCATCGAGCATCAGCTAGACAAACTGTACGTCAATACTGAGTCAGAAATCCTGGAGGGGGGAGAGGAGGTGCGCTTTCTTGCCACTGTATCTGATCTGGCTGACAGAGAGCTGGTGATCACCATCAGCTGGGCTAAACAGGTCCCAGGTAAGTGACCATCCAACTGATCTAAAGGTCAAGTTCATTAAGACAGTTTTCATTTTTTTTGCTAAGCTAATATGTTGTGTTTTTAATAAAAGAAGGGGAAAACATCATCATGTTAGGGAAAATTTTTATAGTGTCCATTGAGAGAATTTTAGCATAAAAATGTGTGACAAAACTGTGCACCCTGTAGAAGACCTATGTTTTCTGACTTTGTCTCAATTTTTCACAGGATTCTGCACCCTATCCCTCAGTGACCAGATGAACCTTTTGCAGCATTCATGGTTGGAAATCCTATGTTTAAATCTTGTATTCCGTTCTTGTCCTTACAATGGCTACCTCAAATTTGCTGAGGATCTTCAACTCTCTGTCGATGAGTGTAAACTCTGTCACTGCTCTCCAGAACTTGACGGGCTGTCACGGAAACTTGCCAAAAAATTCACTGACATGGAGGTCACAAAGGAAGAATATCTCCTGCTGAAAGCCATGACTTTATGCAATATAGGTATATTGGATCATTTAACTAACAAAATTTTATTTGTAACTCATCATTGTATTCACACCAACAGCTAGGTTATATTGATTGAGATAACTAGGTTTCTGTAGTACAAAAACAGATACCAATATCAGTGAATAATGTTTCAAGAATAATTTTAGAACCATAATGCTGTGGCAGGCATATTATATATGAAAAAAAAATCATTTTAGATGTGGCAATTGAGAATAGCGAAGCAGTGAGACAGCTCCAAGACAAATTACAAGATTCCCTGATTGAATATGTCAAATACCGCTATGTGGGTAATCTCCGCCGATTAGGACATCTATACATGCTTCTCCCAGCTCTAAATCACATGAAATTGCTTGCCAAGCAGTACTGGTTTGACGTGAAGAAAGATGGAAGGATCATGATGCACAAGCTTTTCCTGGAAATGTTGGAGGCGGACTCTTGACGTTGAAAATGGAAGGGAAATAACTCTTAAATAGTGTTAAGGTTTTTTTTTTCTTGACAAGCATGTGATATATTTTGTAATTAAAGAAGCTTTCACAGATTAAGATTAGAGAGCAGATGCAGTTCATGGTATATTTTTAGTATAATTATGCAAAGTTAGATTTGTGTAAAATTTTTGTTGTTTGATTTTTTAATTCTTTCTTGTTTAAAGTTTTTTTCTGTATATCATGACATATGTGTGATGTGCATAGAACACAGACATTGTAACCTGTGTGCTATAACTGTGTGTATAAGGTGGAAAAAATTGTCGTAATCTTATCCAGATCTCAAAGCTATCGTAGTTAGACATTTTATTTTTTGTTTTCCAAGTTTTTTCCCAAGATATGCACATGCATGCAGAGAATTGTTACAAGTTCTTTAAGATTTCAGTTGTAAAGTATACCCTTTTACAACAAAGGGTGAGAAATTGTTACATACTTAATCATATTCAAATTATATGCAAATAGATGTGGAATTACCTGCATCATACCGAACCATATTGGAACTTGTAACAAATCTTCTGTATTTACCCCCAATTGTTAGCATCAGTAGTGCTAAACATTGTGCCAAATCTGCAACTTTGTTTCATTGATGATAGACCAGGCTACATAATTTCCCCCCACAATCCTTTCATTCCAATATTTTGCCATTTCCCATAGTAGTTATTGGCCCTAGTCTGAAGGCAGCAAAAATATATAGGGGGATTTCCCTGAACAAATCCTTTGACTTCTATATGATAGATTCCCCCTTCATAGTTTTTTTAACCATATGAGTACTGTTGGTCCTTCACTGCTGCTTGCTGGTGTTGACCATTTGGATCCCCAATTGTTTCTCACATGAGGGTCAAACAGTTGTCCATTCATTCCCACCTCTTTGTTGTTTATCCAAACCATTATGATTTTCCCCCCAGTTTATTTGATAGAAAGTTTGAACTCAGTGAATATGACAGCTTAGTGAAAAACAGAATTTGTTAGAAATTTCTTATGAACGACTTTTTGTGTATTCTGTGATTGGATGAATATGGACCAATTATCATGATGCAAATTTACTAGTCATATTTAAACTCTATCTGCTCATGCAGATTTCTGCACTGATGTCCGTCCATGGCAGATGATATGTCTCCTTCTCTACAAAGGACCCTGGCTGATACAACTGATGGTTTGGATACCCTGTGTAAACTTTACTTCTTCTATTCTAAACAGAAATACTTTTTTAGGGCAGAATTACAAAAATGTGGAATTTTATATCTTACATGTGATATACATGTATTTTTGTCATGAGGCCTATCTTTTACAAAGGACACTTCTTTTATCAGCCAGGATCACTCACTCTAATAGCAGCGATAGATTTTTCAATTCACTCATTTTGGTCTGCAGTAAAGAAAAAAGATAACAAATTAAAGAAAGGCAACAGAAAAAGAGAGTCAAAATGATAATTGGTTGTATGATTGTTACAGAAATGTGTGGGATTTCTTTTTATATCCGTAGATAAACTGTATATATGTGCATCAACCCTGTACATACAAATTGTTGATGTTATGGATTTTTAAACAGAGTGTTAATGTATATTCCTAGATATAAGTATGAATTAATTAGAGCTGTGTAATTTGACGAGGTGTGATAGCTATGTATATTAATTAGTGTAATGCCAGCGATCATTGCTGACTTGCTTGTTTTCCAGAATTGTTGGGTTTTCCAAGTACCTATATATGTATGCCATGTACATTTGTTGGTTTGTGTTTTTTTAATCGGTGCATTTAAATTGGTTAAGAAGTTAAGTATTACATAGATCTGTATAGCCAGGGCTCTTCATTGTGATGTGTTATGCATATAATTGTTATCTTATTTTAGAAAACAATTCCATTTATTTAAATTTTTTAGGCAAAGAAATAGAGTGTAAAATGTGTATAACTAGTTTTAACAAATTCAGCTTCATCTGGACAGCAGTGTAGAACTGTTTTGTTTTATTGCAGATTATTTTTTCTTCTTTGTACGAGCATATTACAGAAGATTTGGCTTTGATATAACACATTACAATGCTCAGCCAGATGGGGACCTACACTTGTTTTCAGTTTTCTCAGGTGCCCATGTTACCTCAGGTTATTTTATTGTAGTTTAATTGTGATATTTGAATTTGTTTTCATCCTTGTAACTACATATATATTGAGCCATTATATTTCAAGAAATTCTGTAGCTGTGCATTTTAAGATTTTTGTATAATGTATTTTTTGTAAGAATCAGAGCCTGATTTTATGAAGTTATCACTTTCTCGGGTTTTCTTCTTAATTGTTTCATAACTGTACACAAACTTTTTCACGGGTAGCGATTAAAATTTAGCAAATTATTTTTTCGTATACTCAGTATATGGATACAATGATTTACAACTGTTATTGCCTGAAGAAAACTGAAAATGACCAGGTTGGTTATGAAGGGATATGATTTTTTTGTACCATATTTTTTATTTATTAATTGTAACATGAATTCATTAATCAGACTTCAGAGCTCATGTAGTAAGAGAAAACAATAGATGCACATCTATCACTGTAAACCAAGGACTAGAATTGTACATAGCTTATTTATATATATATTTATCTTTAATAGTTATATTTAATCCTATATTGCCAATCTGACTTTGGTTTGAGTTGTTGGGGATAAGGATGCTGTATGGCATCTCTTAGTAACCAACCAACTGGAACCAGAATATATTCAAACCTGCATGTGCTGAACAGACATGCATAGCATAAAATAATTCTAAGTTAAATTATAAAAAAAAAAAAAAAAAATCAAAAAAAAAAAAAATAATAAAATAAAATGGAAAAAAAATACAAAATAGGAAAACAACCAAAAAAAATGTAAAAATTAAAAATTTATATGTAAAAAAAAAAATCAAAAAGTGAAAATTAAAAAAAAAAAATTAAAAAGGGAAAAAAAGAAAAAAAAAGATTTATAAAATGAATGGTTTACATGAGTTAATTTTAAGCTAAAAAAACAAAAAAAGGTTAAAACAAATTTAAAAGACAAAAAAAATCAAAAGAAAAGAAAAAATGAAAAAAATATAAATAATAGAAAAAAAAAATGTAAAAAAAGAGAACAGAAAAGAAAAAGATTTGAATCATGCCGTCACAATATCATTTTCACACCACTGTAGTTGTTAGACGTGTAGAGACATTCCTGGTTTACAGTGATAGATATACCCAGATAATATCATTCCATTCACAATTCATACAGGCTTCATCTTTCATTAGTAAACATTATTTTTGTTTTATACATTTTGAACAAGATTATATATATATATTATACATATTATATATACTTTATTGGAGGATTTTATAATGATGGAAATCCTAAATTCTACATATTTCTTCAACAGAGTCAACCTTTTCATGTATAACATATCTCAAAAGTAAGAACTTCTGAAAATCTTGAACTTAAACCTAAAACTTCTAGTGACTGATATGAACATGCCTTTGGTTTCTATCTTGTTCTGGACATGGTTTATTAATGTTTGTCTGTTTAGATCTAATGGTCACTAGAACTTCAACAATAACTTCTGACTAACTCTTCACTTATTAAAGTCTTATCTTTAGTCTGTTACCTGAAATGCAACTTTTTTCTGTTTATTTTATTGTAGACATTTAATATTTTAGTACTTCTATAATTTTATCAGTTCTAACAGACTTTTCAAATTAACTAAATACAATCCATATAACAAAGAGGATACACATTATAATTGGGAGAATTTCAAAATTTATTCTTAAGATGAAGAGTTCTATTGTCCAATTTATTTTTAATTTTAATATTCACTTTAGCAGCAGCATTTTAAATAGATTTCAAATTTCTTAAAATTTTGGGTTTTTTTTTTAATAATTCTGTGACATCTGTAATTTTCAACCCTGGGGGTTTAAATTATCATTATTATTATTTAAGTATACTTTGTTTTTAGAAAAAAAATAATATTGTTCTTGGTTTTTTTTTTTCAATACTCTTGATGTTATCTTAAAATTCCAGACACTAGGTTTACTTTAATTCAATAATTAATCAGAAGGAATGGGGTGTAAAACTTACATGTAAAGGAGATTTGTTAATGCTTATTTCATTAGATTGAACAGAGAACTGGCACTCTAATATTTTCTCTTTCTCTCCCTTTAGTATTAAGTGATTTCAATTTCCTCTACTTTTATCTACTTTTATTCATCTGATGATTTTCAGATTAAATTTAAGAGGTAATTTTCTGTTGGGGAAAAATATGAATTTTTATTTTTGTTAGACGAAAATCGATGATATATATAATGCAAGGTGCTTGTTAATATAGATTTATCATACTTTTTCATATTTTATACAGAGACTTCATATCACAGCTATTAATATCCAAATACCCCGTTCAAAAATGAAATCCTTGCTCTTTCCCTTTGTATTTTTACTTTGTTTAGTTAGGAAGCATGTTCCCTTTAATACAGTTTTGGAACCAGAATTGTATTGCTTGGTTTTAAGTAGGTAAACTGGCTTAAAGTTAGCCATTAACAACAGAGGGTTAAAAATTCTATGACACAAATAATTATAAAAACTTACAAGAAAAGCAATCACTGATTAGCAGATTTCTGAATTTTCTGTATTATGAACATTTAATAGTGCTGTCTTGGGTCTCCCTGAAATATTAAATTTATTTATTTCCAGAATTTGATCAAGGCAGATTATCCATCAGCAAGGTCCCATCACTCCTACCATAATATTCAAATCATCTTCAAAATAAGTTCACACTCAGCTTTTTCCCAAGTTTCCAACTTTATGAAGGAAAAGTTTTTTAAACAGCATTAGAATATTTTTAGGTAATGATGCCTGAAGAGTTATGGGACCTTACTGATGAATATTTTGCCTTAAGAAATGGAATTGTTCTGTTTTTGATGTTATATCGGAGATATACCTTGTTACTGTTCTTCAGAAAAAAGATGTATTTTCTTAGAAGTTAAATAAAGCCAGTATTGAATGTGATCTTATGTAGTTGTTGTTAGTTTTACTTTCTTGTTTTACAAATTTTGCTTCTCCAGTCTGTATTCTCATTGAAGTAGCCCAGTCCAGAAGTTTGGCATAGTAGATTACATCTGATTTTGAGTTATTCAGTAGCTGAGGCTGAAAATGCAACAAATGCACACTCTGGCGTCTTATTTAATGCAGAAGAGAGTTGCAGTCATTGAAAAGCGAAGTCAAGAATTAATTAGGAAATGCCGCTTTGGTGGCCAGTGAAAATATTGTTTATGACTACTTGTATATTAATAACAGTGGTTTGCTTTATACCTACAGGTATTTATTTTGCTTCATTGCATACTAGTTAAAAAGCAAGCTGCTTCACAAGTGCTCACCTTCTCAAGCAACTAAATGATAGGTCCACAGAGATTGCAGGAGCAAGTTTGAGAATGTCCATCCTTTGATGCATCATCCAGGGCTTATAATTTTTAGCTCACCTGAGCCTAAGGCTCAAGTGAACTTTTCTGATCACATCTGTTATCTGTCGTCGTTGTTGTTGTCATTGTCATAAAATTTTCACATTTTCATTTTCTTCTCAAGAACCACTGGGCCAATTTCAACCGAACTTGCCACAAAGTATCCTTGGGTGAAGGGGATTCAAGTTTTTCAAATGAAGGGCCACACCCTCTTCCAGGGCGAGATAATTACGAATTAGTAATAAATTAATGGTATCTTTTAAAAATCTTCTTCTTAAGAACCAATAAGCCAGGAAAGATGAAACTTAGGTGGAAGCATCTTCATGTAGTGTAGATTAAAATTTATTCAAATCATGACCCCCTGGGGGTAGGATAGGGCCACAGTGGGGTATTGAAGTTAAACATAGAAATATATTGGAAAAATCTTCTTCTCAAGAACAGCAAAGCCATGATTGGTCATAGTTATATGGAAGCACTCTCTGGTAGTGAAGATTCGATCAAGTTTGTTCAAATCATGACCCCTGGGGCAAGGGTGGGGCCATTATGGGTCATCAAAGTAGGATTACATAGAAAAATCTTGAAAAATCTTCTTGAGAACAGCAAAGTTGTGATTTGTCATAGTTATATGGAAGCATCCTTGGGTAGTGTAGATTCAAGTTTGTTCAAATTATGACCCCCGGCGGTAGAGTGGGTTTGAAACTTTAAAACGATACCTGCTAAAAACATAGGTAATCAGAGATTACAGAGCTCACCTCAACGAATGTTGTCTTTAAGTAAGGCA